ACAGTGAGGTAAGACTGAATGGCTGCCATCACAGTGAGGTAAGACTGAATGGCTGCCATCACAGTGAGGTAAGACTGAATGGCTGCCACACGGAGACGGAGCCCACCAGAGCATCCAGCAGCAGGTCCTCCAGCCGTGTCACCGTCACAGACCGGTCGCAGGTGTACTTCTTCTTCATGGCTTCCTGCGTCTTGGCCAGCTTCTCCTCTGCCTCCTTCACATCAGCAAAGAACTGCACCGATTGGGGAGAGGATGAAGAAAAATGTTCAGCGTACAGAGAGACAAGCAACCTTCTCGTGTCAACTACACACGAAGTGATACAATTCAAAAGAATCATAAATATCACTACAAAACTTCTACTTAAATGTTTCCTGGTTCCTGTGCAAATGAGTTTTTTTTTGTAGTTTTTCATCTCAATTCTGCTTCATTTTTAAAGAAAGCAATGTAGTATATCATCCAACCTGGTAGTAGGCAGTATTCTCCTTGAGGTGAGCTTCGATGCAACAGCACAGCTGAAGGATCCAGCTCCACTGAGTCTGCAAGGCAGCTGTGAAAGCCTAGCCAGAAAAGTGGGGACATCAAGGATTATGGGATTTGTAGTTCAACAATGAGTATTCTTTCTTTCAGGTGTGCATCATGCAAAGTCTTCATTCCTTCTCACCTCCACAGTCTTTCTGCCTGGGTGGCCCTCTTTCAGCAGCCTGTCACCAGTGGTCTGGATCTCATTCACCTTCTTCTCCCTCAGCTCCAGCTCACGCATCAGACCCTGAGTCCAAAGAGGGACATTCATCATAAAGACCCAGCTCCTCACTCCATCCATCCACAATGCAGAATGACAGAAGCGACTGAAGAAATATTCATTGTTCATTCAGTTTTACATATTTGTTACTGACTAGGAAAAGTCATCCACTGCAAGTCCAGAATAAATTAAATGTAAGATGTAGTTTCCTCTTCCAGGAACACCTTAATATTTGTCTCTCAATCCAACCTAATCTCCTACCACTGACCCTTACTGGTTCCCCATCTACCATTAACCTGTTCCATTGTGAAGTGGTTTTCTTGGTACCTCTACACACTTTCCATGTTTTTGCACTTCCTTGCACTTACCATTTTCTCTCTGAGAGACACTTATGTGTTAATTGCATGTTGCATCTGAGTTTGTCCACTTAATGACATTTCTCATTAAAATATGAGGATTTTAGCAGTGATTGTATCACGCTACTTAACAAACCTACCTTGTATTTTTTTCTGATTAATCAGTATAAGATTCACCCAGCAACTTAATAAGTTGGCTCCTTGACAGCTACATATTGTTAAGTTTCATCTGACCCTTTAATCTAAAAGTCCTGTAAAACCTCTGCTGTTCCATAAACTTAAGATTAAGTCTTTCAGCTTTCCGTCACTGGATCGGCTTCCTGACGTACCGAGTAGTTGTCTTTCTTGGCAGTCATGTTGGTGTTGCGGTCACTCCAATCGAAATTCACCTCCTCCTCCTCCTTGTCGTTCAGCCACATCAGCTCCTTGGTGGCAGCGCTGACGAAGGTCTGGAGCTGGTCCAGGTTGCGAAGGCGGGACTTGGACGAGTTCTGCCAACGTAAAGAAGGGTCCTTAAGCCTCCTCCTACAAACGCCATCTAAATCAGCCCAAGTCAAATATATCTCCCTGGTTGCAGACTTTGTCATTCATGTTACATGCGGAGAGAAGAGTTCTGTTAGCTCAATACCACCTGCAACCCCAGCAAATCTCTCTCCATGGTGACCCACTCGACATAATGTAGGCTAATTTAAAGTCCCTTTGACCAAAACTGGATTTTGAGTGCAGCAGACATAAGCAGATCAGGGCAATGTGTCAGACTTCCTAATGCTCAGGGAGTCACTCAAGGGGAGTCACTCTCGGGGAGTCATTCTCGGGGAGTCATTCTCGGAGAGTCATTCTCGGGGAGTCATTCTCGGGGAGTCACTCTCGGAGAGTCATTCTCGGCGGTGCTCACCAGCAGTTTGGCGTACAGGAGGTCCAGTTTGCCCAGGTACTCCCTGTAGGTTCCTTTGCTGATTGGAGACAGCTGGTTCTGCAGGGAAGACACAGTGACGGTAGACAGTGAGATGAGGCACTTGGCACTGAAGAACCACGCAGCCATTATCAGGATTTTTACAAAGCATCCACCCAAAAGAATGTTTCTGCTCAGTAGGCAATTTCTGATTCCGCTAAATTAATCTGGAAATCCAAGCCATGTGGATATTGGCACAACCATTCAGGTCATTGACTAAAAACAACCTCTGAACAGCTGCTGAAAACAGAAGCACCCCCTTCCTCCCACAGTGAGCCTAATGGTTCCCCTGCTGGTCGAACCCTTTCCCGCACCTCGTCAGCACGAGCCCGCTCGATCTTTGAGCGGAAGTCCTCCACGGTCTGGTGCAGTCCCCGGTGGCTGCCCAGCTGCGACTCCACGGAGGGCAAGTCCGCACCCCAGCCAGCTGAGTCCACACGCCTCTGGTTCTCCTCCACCCAGGCCAGCAGGTCCTGGATGTAGCGCAGGGTCACCTCGTCCAGCTCGGGCCTGCCCTTCACAATGCTCTGCTGCTGGGTGACGGGCGACTGGGTGGAGGTCACACTGGAACGGAACCTCAGGTTGTACTCGGTGCGCAGGTTCACCAGCCGCTCGTGCAGATGGTACACCCTGGGGATGACCAGAGAGCATCAGAGAACTGTTATCTCCAGAAGATCGGAAGACATCCACAGAAGGGTGACAGACCCTTAATGCTATATGTATGATTAATTAATAACAGCAAAGAATATGATTATATTAATATTTAAAATATTCATATTAAATGAATGAACATTCCATTATCATTTTAGCCCCCAACTTATGACTTTCACATAAAAACAGTGCCCTCACCTCCTGTACATCTGCTCGGCCTGCAGGTGGCGCCCATCCTTCAGCAGCTGTACATCATTGAAGAGCAGGCGGATCATTCCGTCGGCCTTGTCCAGGTCCCTCTCCAGCTCCATCATGTTCTTAGCTGGCTTGCCCATGTTCAGCAGACGGATGTCCTGGATAGCACGCCAAAGACGGTGGTTACTAATCAAGCTAATTAATGACAAACGAACCAATAATGCCACACTAATAAAGCTAATTAATAATTAACTACCCGTCTCTATACAAATAACTACATCTGTGTTCCTGCCTCTTTCCCTGGAGCAGCCACTGCCCAGCTCAGAACATCCCTCAGCCTCGGCCGCCCTGCCCAGCTCAGAACATCCCTCAGCCTCGGCCGCCCTGCCCAGCTCAGAACATCCCTCAGCCTCGGCCGCCCTGCCCAGCTCAGAACATCCTTCAGCCTCGGCCGCCCTGCCCAGCTCTGCATCCAGGCTTCGCTGCCGACTCACCGTCTGCAAGAGGCTCTCCACCTGGTTCAGCTGCTCCTCACAAACACCGGACTCCATTTGGACCTTGCTGACGATACGCTGAAGACGCTCTAACCTGTGAACACCACCGGGGGCGCTGTCAGCACAGATACCACCACTGCTGTAGTAATATGGAAGTTCTGTTAAACCAAATACGTAGTACCTGCAATTTTCCCATAACAAAATATATATATTATTGTTATGTATGTGTTATATATAAATATAACTGACTTTAATTAGCTGAACAACAGATCAATACATTAAATGAAGCCTCTCCAGTCCTGCCCACCCCCCCTCACCCCTGCCCACCCCCCATTATGACAACACGGCACACAGATGGACAAATGGGACATGACAGGTGAGACAGACAACACATGAAGTTATAAGACCGTGCAGATTGACGTCGACAGACAAGACGTCTGGGGTATTTAGGGATTTTCTGTGAAATTGTGAGAGCTTATGAGATGCAGGGTATGTCAGTGTCGAGTCAATGTTGAATGTCAGTGTGTGTTTCTGTGCGTGTGTGACTGTAATTATGTGCGACATTCTGTGGGTTTACTTTACAGGCAGGTCCAGTGCTGTGGTAAATGAGCCCCAACCTTTTGTGAAGTATAGAGTTTGGTGCTGTAGGGTAATAATTTCCATGGATATGTATTTTCTGAATAGGTTTGACCATTGTGTGATATTAAGAACAGTATATTAATTCACTCTAAATTAATACTTTATAAATACATAAATAAATATATGAAAATAAAAACAGTTTACATATTTGCTATATATAAATATCCACTTCCTGGGTAAAGCAGATAATCTAAACCAATGCTTCTCAACCACATCCTTGAGGACCTTCAGACAGACCACGTTTTCGCTACCTGCCAGGTCCCAGCCAAACACCAAATACCTGCTGCAGGCGTGTCAGGAGCTGGGGGGGGGGGGGCGAAATGTGGACTGTCTGAGGATCCCAGAGGAGTATTAGCTCCATGTGGGAGGGGGCCTGGGAAATATCCGGTCACAGTAGGTCCACCCCCAGCGGCACCGCAGCAGTTCTAATCCCAGGCAAACAGAACACCACATCCCCCCCCCTTTTGAACTTGAGCTTTATGCTCTCCCCAGTAGGCATGGGAAGCACGGAGGTCTTGTGACAAAAAACAAGCCCCCCACCCCACTACAGAGGCCAACCCCCCCCCCCAAACAGTGGAAAAAAACCCAAGCACAAGCTTTGATCAGCTATGAAACACCTTCCATGAGGTAATTATTGAGAACATCGTCACGCCACAGCTGTTTAAGTCCATGTCCCTTAATGAGGAAATTGTTCCAGTTATGGCAGCTTTGAGGTCTTTGAATCCTGGTTTTATGTGAGATATTTCCCATCAGCCCCAGCAAGCGATGCCGCATTGTGGAAGACAAGCTCCGGTTGTTTATCTCAGGAGTTCTAGACTAGGAGCCTCCCCCAGGAGCCAGGGAATGGCAGCCTTAATAGCCAAATCACTGCCAAGAACAAGACAAGCACTGTCTTGTCTACAATAAGAAGAGCCTGAGGGTTAGCATGGAGATACAGTGCTGGACTGCCGCCATGCTAATGGACCAGGCCTAGTGAGACTCCAACCAAAACAACCATGAATCAGGTAAGGCAATGGGTTCCTCCTTCCACAAAATAAAAACCCGGAAACAGCGTCTCCTGCATTTCCTGGGACTTGACCGGCTGCGGGTTTTGCCACCAGCCCATTATGAGCCAGAATGGGTTCAGTGCCCATTTTGCAGACTGACCTTTCAAGCTCGGTCCTCAGCAGCCTCTCTCTCTCCAGGATGGTCAAGTGCAGACGACCCCATTCTTTCTCCACATCGATGGGGTGGTAGCCTGGAGGTACCCTCACCTGACCAGCATGGATGGCAGACTGGGAATGGGAGCAGAGGAAGGAGGGATTACACAGCCATCCACAGAGCACAGGAAAATTAGGAGTGAGTCAGCAACAAGAGATTCTTCACTGGGGGTTAGTTTGTCAGACAGTCAGAGATGAGCCATGAGCGCTTGGTCCGCTGGGCTTGAGGTACATGACCTGACAAGTACTCTACCTGAACTCTACATGGGCCTCAGGTCATGAACTCTACATGGGCCCCAGGTCATGAACTCTACATGGGCCCCAGGTCATGGAGCGGCCCCCACCCAAGCACTCACCTCAAAGGAATTGAAGATCAGCTTTGAGTGATTCTTGTCTGTTTCTTTAGCTGGCAGTTCAGTCTCCTTGAACTTCATAAACTGGCGCCACAGAATCTACACAAAGGAAAGCAACCAAAACCAGCCCAGCTGGAGTCATGGCCTTTTTTGGAGGGGGGTCAAGGGTCCAGTACATGTGAAATATATCAGATACAGAAACTTTACCACCAATAAAATATAAATGTTCATATACAGTATTGCTTTTACTCAACAAGTTGTAATATCTTGGTTATGTCTGTTGGATTTAATGATTAAAAACAACTAACACAAGAAACACATTTGGTCTATAGACTGTGCAGGAATAAAACAAATATTTAGCCTATACAGTACCAGTGTGAACAAGCTTAAACCGGTGTATGGCAGCCTGTGCCGGTATGCACTGTGCTTGGCGTTTCTGAGGTTCGACTTGTCACTCCTGTACAATTTCAACTATTCTCTCACATAACACAAACCACATTAATGTAGTGTTAGGATATCCAGGCTTGGTCTGAAAGTTTATATCATAAAACAACAAGTTCAGACAGGCTGAATGATCTGAAGAGCTGCTCTAAATGGTAATGGTCTGATGCCCCACAGAGAAATAACAGCCACATTGCTGAAAGGTGACCTATTTAAGCTTCAGTGTCCCCTTGTTGTGTTGATACAAAGAGCTGCAGGTGATGAGGTCACCATGAATTTTCACCTGCAATCCTTCCATTGCATGGCCTGTCAGGGATTAGTTCTTTAGTCAAGGGAAAACGTGCCCCCAGGTCATACCTTGCGTGTTTGGTTTTGTCTTCATAATGCTACCACGCCCAAATTCACTAACCCCAATTCAGCCACACCCATTACCACCCTGCGTGAAGAAGAAGAGGCTTAGCCCCCCCCCCCCCCCAAAACCCCACCCTCCATGCCCACTCTTCAGGACTCTTTGATCCTGTCTGCACAGGGCAGCTCTCTCCTTTTCATCACTGCGGTTTGCAGTGACACGCAGCAAGCGGCTTCCCAGCAACATCACGACCAGCACAGAGGGCGGAAGCCAGAATCGATCTCCCCGTCAGAGACTTCTAGAATCGTGCGACAGATCGACCTGCGAAAAATCACGAGCATGTGCGGATGGGTGGGTGGGACGCTCACCTCGATCTCCTCGTAGCTGGCAGGGAACTTCCTCTCCTCGAAGATGGTGATGTAGTGGCGCATCCACTGCAGAAGCAGGGTGACCAGCTCGTAGTACTCCTGCCACCGCAGCTCCAGCTCCTGCAGGAGTGACAGAGGAGGATCTTAACAGTGAGCCAGATCAGGAGTCACCCCCCTAACTCACTTACTGACACACCACACTCAAGTGCGTACTACAGGCACGGCCTTGTGTATCCTTAGCGTGGGGGGGGGGCTCTTGGAAATCGCTATCATTATGGCTGACCATACGCATGGCCTGACGAGGGCAACGTTGGCTGCACATTACTTTTAACTGTCTGCTAGAATAAGAGATCCTTATTTAAGCTAGAATAAGAGATCCTTATTTAAGCTAGAATAAGAGATCCTTATTTAAGCTAGAATAAAGAGATCCTTATTTAAGCCGGACTACGTCGAAATTCCTGTGAGAAGGCAGCAGACGAATGTGTCCACTTAGGTTCTGTAGAAAAGACACCCCCAGTAAACAAAAACCAGCTGAGAAAACCTCTGACCAGTATGAATCTTATGCGACCGCTGAACATCCTGTAATCAGCCATCCACAGCGACAATGACACAGAACACACAAGAAAAACAACCAAGATGCATGAGTGCATAGCAGCTTACTACTGATTTTTTTGTGATTTCTTTTGCTTAGACAACATAGATCTCATGATGGCTGTTCAAAATCCCAGCTTCAACACAGGATTAATTTATTATAAAAGCCCTAAGTGGATCTCCAAATGCGGATTAATGTAGCACAAATGCAAGGTAAAGCCTTCCTGAGCCATTCACTGGCTGCTACCTTATCAGCCACGCCCACCAATCCAGATGCCAGCCAATCATCTTTCACCATGTGGCTACTAACATGGTCAATCATGTACAGCAGACCCACTGACGCCATACTCACATTGGTTTTCACACCATCCGGGACGTCGGGCACCCGGGGCATGGCATCATACAGGGAGGACACGTAGGTGATGATGGACTTCTCATCGGGGTTTGGCACGTCCACGTCTGAAAGCATGAAGAAGGACACCAACCCAGTGACATGCTGACACACGCATCCTTCAGCTTATACTCTCCGGCTTTGTGTCATATGACACCCGGTGGCTCACATGCGAGCAACATGGTCAAAACCTCCAGCACGGGCCTTGCAAATGGGGGGGGGGGGGAGTCTATACCACACTGATAAACACAGCAGCATGCCGTGCTGCAGAGGTGTGGCTGCTCTTGCCAATCAGTACTCCTGGACAGTCCAGGGCTTGTAAAGAGCCATGACTCTTTCCCAGTACGTCCCCCTCCTCCAGTGCTGCAGGCGTTTGGGAAACAGTGTTTCCAGCTCAGAAGCTCTGGTAGCTCCTGGCTCTTTGGAAAACCACCAGTATACCCAGTATGCCTTTGAAGGAAACGCGGATGGTGGTCTGCAGAAGTGAAATTACACACTTTGGAGCAATCTTAATTACACAGCCACGCCTGAGTGTAATTAGTCTGGCATTTGAGATACATTGCGTTGTTCACTGCCCGGGCAAGGCAAGCCAGTGTCACGGGCAATTAAATGTTGGGGGGGGGGGGGTGTCACCGTTAAATGGAACACGGCTTTACGGTAAATACAAAATACACAACGTCTGGCTAAGTGCATGGAGATGGGGTACAACCTTAAGCATAGCAAACAAACAGCATCGGCACGTCCAATCAGACACGGGGGCGGAGCCACGAGCGGCGTCTCACCCTCGGGGTCCAGCAGGCGTGTGACCCCTAGGCTGCTCTCCGCCACGTTGAAGGCCTGCTCCAGGTTCTGCAGGTTGGTTTGCCGGTACACTTTGCTCATGTCGATAAGCATGGGCCTGTGATGGGGGGAGGAACATCACTGGTTAGAGTCTCAACAGCAAATCGGTTAGATCTTGTCAGATGTGGAGCGCCGTTCCCGCACCAAGCAGGAAACCACCTCTTTCAATATTCTTCTATTACGAAAGATCATGCACAGTGAAAATCCTGACCGGTAGATACCACACTCGATATCAGCATTCATTCTAAAGCCTAATTATAAGCCTATGAGCATTTCTGGTGTTTGAATAATCTCACAGAAATAGCAACTCCACAAAACAAACAAAAATAAATTCAACAAAAATATTTTCCCACAGCCTAAGTACATTAACCAGGTCTGGCCAATTTCTTTGAGTACAATGTTTGTTTTTCTCATCGCAAACAAACAAAAAAATAAAACTCCAGGATCCGCCAAAGTCCAGGATCAGTAGGGGATAGCTCACACATCCACAGGGATAAATCTTTCATAGCAGCCAACGCCAGATATTCATCATCCATAAATCTGGCCCAACATCTGGCCCTTACTGCCAGAAAGCACTGTGGGAAGACAGATGTTCCCAGTTATCAGGCAAATGGGGAATCTGACACAATGTGGCCACCTGCTAGGGCATCAGCAAGCCCCCGTCTCTCAGGTGCCCAGCTTCTGACATCCATTTAGACAGACGTGCATTTACATGAAGGACAGCTCCTCTATAGTGCAGACACAGCCACTGGATCAATTCAGGTTCCATAAAATTTCACACTCAGGTTTTAAGCTCATTCTCACCTGTGATAGTTCTTATATTCTTAAGTACACACAATAAGGTCAAAAGCCAGCACTGTGCAAAAGCCTGGAAACATAACAAGCGCAAAGGGGGATATACTGCTACTGCAGCCACACCAGCTAAGAAAGGCGGGGGGGCTTAATCCCCTGAGCAGAGGCAGCCAAAAAGGAAGTGGAGAGCCGTACAATTCCTTGACGCGCAGAGTTGAGCACACGGAGTAGTAGCCGGCACTGCTGCCGTTTTCACGCTCCGCGGAGCGAGCCTCGTAGTACTGCCGCCTCTCGCTCTTCTCGAGGCCGCCGGACGGCCCGATCCTCCGGGGGCCCCTTTCATTCCTTTGCTCCAGCCGGGGGGAATCCCCACCCGAGTGGCCCCCCGCACCCTGGGAGCCGTGGCCCGAGTCACAAGAGCTCTCCGAGGGGACATCCTCGCAGAGCATGACCACGCGGTCCTCCAGGTCGCTGCCGGAGCCGGAGCTAACCCGCCGCCGCTCCCTGGGAGTCAGCTTCCTCTTCAGGCTCTGAAACATGGTGGCTGCTGGGAAGGGTCGGTCCTCCACCGGGGGGAAGGTCACAGAGCGGCTTACTCCTAAACACCTCCTTCCATGTCCATCATGCCTCTCCCGATGTTTATTTATGGTCCGCCACGGGTGTGTTCAAGCTTGACGTGTCTACTGAGATCGTCCCATTGAATGATTCACCATGATCTACATGCTGAGGCCTCCTCCACTGCAAGCCAAGCGCTTCTTTGTGAAAAGTGAGGGCTCCTATTGGTTGACAGACATTGTCAATAGACCAATCGTGCGCCGCGTCAGTGCCTCTGTAAACAAACTCCCCTCACCACTTTTATTTGACTGGGTAGAACAGCCAGAAAGACAAAGATATCCAGAGGGAGGAATTCCAAAGGCAAAAATCCACCGCGAAGCCTTTTCCTGGATGTCTACAGAGCAGCGAGCGTACGGTTAGCCCATGGGTGCTGCATAGGGGCGAGAGCTCCTAACTCCTGATCCCAGGCAGCTGACATCTGCTTCTATAAGCCCAGCTCTGCGCTGCTGGGCTGGATCCTGGTGCCTGACATCAGGCCAGATGGGCGTACCACTCTTTGCAGGTACATGCCAGCGTCTTGAATTCCCTGCCCCGAGGGAAGCTCCTTTCTCCCTCTCAATGACTCACTGCCGTATGCCACACCCTGTCTCTAATCTTACTTTACCCGCTCTATTCTCGCCCTTTCACTCTCCAGCCTGGCCCTTATGAAAACCACCCAGCAGGACAATCAGCGGTGGCCGTCCATTGTTCCGATCAGGCTGAATTCTTTCCACGGCACATCATGCAAGCCAAGCCAGCCCACTGCCCGCAAACTGAGTACAAATGTCTGAGTGGATGTCAGTGTAAATGTCTGCATGGATGTCTGTGTGGATGTCTGCGTGGATGTCTGTGTGGATGTCTGTGTGGATGTCTGTGTGGATGTCTGTGTGGATGTCTGCGTAAATGTCTGCGTGGATGTCTGCGTGGATGTCTGCGTGGATGTCTGCGTGGATGTCTGCGTGGATGTCTGC